GATTTCCTTACATCAGAGGGGATACAACTAGTTATAAGACACAACGAGAGTGATTTCCTTACATCAGAGGGGATACAACTCGTTATAAGACACAACAAAAGTAATTTCCTTACATCAGAGGGGATACAACTGGTTATGAGACACAACGAAAGTGATTTCCTTACATTAGAGGGGATACAAGTGGTTTTAAGACACAACGAAAGTGATTTCCGTACATCAGAGGGGATACTACTGGTTATAAGACACAACGAAAGTGATTTCCGTACATCAGAGGGAATACAACTGGTTATAAGACACAACGAAAGTGATTTCCTTACATCAGAGGGGATACAACTGGTTATAAGACACAACGAAAGTGATATTCTTACATCAGAGGGGATACAACTGGTTATAAGACACAACAAAAGTAATTTCCTTACATCAGATGGGATACAACTGGTTATAAGACACAATGAAAGTGATTTCCTTACATCAGAGGGGATACAACTGGTTATAAGACACAACAAAAGTGATTTCCTTACATCAGAGGGGATACAACTGGTTATAAGACACAATGAAAGTGATTTCCTTACATCAGGGGGGATACAATTGGTTATAACACACAATGACTCAGTGATTCCCTCACATCATAGGGGATACATAGAGGATATTCAATGTTTTGTAGTTGCATATGGAAATCTGGAAATCTGGAAATGTCCCACTTGTGAAATAAATTCCATATCCAACTACAAAACATTGAATTTTCTGTTTATTACCGGGTACATTTTCTTTAACTTCCCTTTGCCTCTGTCTTTTCTGGACACATTTTCATATAAGCTGTTGAGTGGTTGAGAAGTCATAGCTTAGCAATCATGCAATTGAAAACATTTTAACATGGATTTTAGCAACATATTTGGGAAGAAATTGGCAGTTTCAGTCTCTTGTATCAAGATGATTTAGTTACTATATGTCTATCTTGAGACTGGCCAGAAATTATCTTTTACTTACCGGTACTTTGATATTCTTTCACACTGTGACAGAATATCACTTTGGTATCCTTTCACACAGTGACAGAATATCACTTTTATTTAATAAATATATCACTGTTTTTCACTGTTGAAAATGTAATAAAACTGTTTTTAACACACAATGACTAAGTGATTCCCTCACAACTGGTTGTACACATGCACAGTGACTAAGTGATTCCCTCACAACTGGTTGTACACATGCATGCACAGTGACTAAGTGATTCCCTCACAACTGGTTGTACACGCAGTGACTATATTGTGATTCACAACTGGTTGTACACACAGTGACTATTAAAGTGATTCCATCACATCAGAGGTGCTACAACTGGTTGTAACACACAAGTGACAGTAATTTCTTTACTTCAAAGGGACATGACTGATTTTAACACACAAGTGACAGTGATTCTTTCACATCTGCAGAGGGGCTACAACTAGTGACAGGCTTCTTATCCAAACACACATTTATTGGTATGCACTATTGTCATACTAATCTCCTTATGTCTTGCAATGGGATAACAAATATCTGGTCATTTATCAATAGTAAAGACAATCCCTTTAGTATTAAAAAACAACCATAAATAGACTAAGGTTTACTTGATATAATGCATGTACTTGACATTATTCACTGGTACCTTACATAACATATGTACTCGACTATTACCCCCCTCAATACTTGCCCTGATAAGCTTAGTCCAGAAAAATCAAGAATTGGCATCTTTGTTTTTAATTTGTGCCCACAATACATTTACACTGTATTTACTGTATATACAATCCAATGAAAAGATAAACAAACGAATATAAAAACATATTGCAAAATTCAGAAGTGCATGGGCTATATATATCCAGAGAATCTCCTTTAAAAAGGATCATGGGATTTAAACTAAATATTGACTAAGGCTTTCAAGGTCACTTACTACTAATATGCCAGAGTTTGTAGGTATGAGAATTGGAATTAAATTCATTATGTCCTTTACTCTTAAGGGTTCTTCCCATATATATAATCAAGTGTACACATCGATCATGACGAGCACTCAACATCAAGTTATGATGCCACACTGGCAAAATATCGACATGAAATGTGACTAAAAAATACATTACAAATAGTTAGACACCACTAAGTGGATTTTTTTATAGATATAATGCCTAATTCAAAATTGTTGCATCAAATTCCTTCATATAATTATTTGCTCCAACTTTGATGTCGGCGATTATAAACTATCCACCTGTACATTAATATCTAGTGAAACAGGTAGTCATGTAATCCTAGTCTATAATCAGACTTCAGATGCCATCTACAGTAGGTACATGTAACTTAATACAATGTCATCTACAGTAGGTACATGTAACTTAATACAATAATTTTAGCATGCCTAGCAGATACTAGCAAAAAATGAAAAAAAAATTTACTTCTCTGCTAATAAAATTTTTAGCACTTACCGGTATGTATAGCCATTTATTAGTACCAGTACTGTGATCTACATATACATCAATCAGATTTTGCATTTCTGGCAGTGTTGAAATATAGAAAATATAGATGCAACTGAGTCAAAATACTCATTAATGTTTTCTTAAAAAAAAAAAATTCATATAGCAAACATATAAACTCAATTTAAATTTTAATTATCAGGTAAACTTGGGAAATATAAAAAGAAACCATATATTTTAAAAGGGACTGAGTAACTTTAAATAAGAGAATTCCACTTTATAGCAGAAAAAAAAACATGTCTCTGAAATGCTGTTCATCACCTGAGTACTCCAGCAATGTTGGTGATAATGGATACTGATAGCTGGTAATTGTCATGATAGACTGACAAGAATTCTTTAACCGAAAATACATCACTGGAAGTTTGATTAATAAATGTTTTGTAGTTCTCAATCATCTTATAATCATAATGGATGTGATTGTGTTGTATTTTATATTCAGTGTCTTCCCACTTGTTACAGGAGTAACTTTTCAGAATAGAAAACACACCAGTCTGTAAATCCATGGGGAGAACAGACATTTTGGAAGAATCTGATGTATAACCCTCATTCCCTAACCCTATGTTTTCAATATTTGTTTTAATTTATGGTAGTAAACAAGCCTTGTAAGTACTCATTGACAAGACCCTGAGATGAAAAGAAGCAGTTGATCAAGGATCTGTTAAAAGTCTTTAAAATAAGAAAAGACAATAACACATACTCTTAACTATCAAAAGCAAATGAATTTTTTTTTTAAAAAGATACCCCCCTCCCATTTGAAAAATTTCTGAATGACTGTCCCTTATGCTACATGGAAATGAGGATATCATTTTTTGATTGATACATGAACACAAACTTTTTCATTAGTTGCCTGGTAACACAGAGATAAAATTAATTACTGCTTCAATCTTTTTTACTTTATCTGTATTTTAACAGAGAGTTCTTAAAGCAACACCAGGGCCAAGAGAAAATTTGGACAGTGCACAATTCATCCAAATGAATTTCTTTATGCAGTAACCTCTGGACCAATAGTCCTTTATGAATTGCTTCTCACTGCAAACTACATGTATGTTCTCACAGCTGCAGCAAAAGTTCACCAGAAAATAAACTCATCTTGTTTCAACAGCTATTGCATGGTGATCATAGACAGTATTCTTAGGTCCTGGGAAGGCGCCATGCCATATGCGCATATTGTTGAAAAATGGCGCAATGAAGTAATGGTGCGCTGCGCCATGGGGTGCACCTCACAAAATGCGGACACACATGTTTAGCAAGTGTCAAGTAGTTTTTGATGGCTGACCACAGCCTTACGAAAGTCACACACATGGAAAATATTACATTGTACCTTACAATGAAATACCTTATCAACGGAGTTTACATATCTTGGCCTGTCCCTTGATCTATAAATCTACATTTTTAAGAAAAAAGGGCTCTTTTGGTTTACATATATAATTCTTTTAAATACTTGCTGTGTTAAAATCTTTAGTTGACAAATGATTTATGAAGCTCTTAGAAACAGAAAAATCATTTCCACTTATCAGTGTCATAAGATTTGACATTTTGACAATTCCTATTGCATTTTTTTTTTTATATTTTCCTACATTTTGTTCTCAGAGATATATGCATTATCATATCATCATACTATAATAATTTTAGAATGGCCCCAATATATTTCCCCTTCGCCCCTTAAATTTCAAAATGGCCAATCATTTTATAAAAAGTGGGGACAAATTGGCCCTTACCTGCATGTTGCTTGACCTTCCCAGGCACTGTATACTTAATGTTCTTTGTTAAGAATTTATACTTTGGAGTTGTGAATTAAGTCACAGTCTAGGCATTGAAGGGGGAAATCTAAGTTAAAAGTGAATATATAGGTACCCGCATCCAGTAAAAAATACACAATATTATGCTTTTGAACATCACACCATCAACATATTACTCAGTACTCATAAAGATCAATAGAAAACATCTTAAAATGTGACTAACTAATCATATTGAGCTATAATATAAAAATTAAAAATATATTATATTTTTAATACAAGTCAAGGTAAATAGTTGAAACACATCACTGAGGGTGTTACACTGAATGTCTAGCTAATTCTACATGTATGTTGTTAGATACACACGTACATGCATATTAGATCATGTATGCAACAAGACATTCTCGACATTTTAGGGAGCATTACTTAATTACTAACATATTTAAAAAGGAATATTGTTTACAGATATGACAATTACAAATTAAAACATGATGGTATTTTTGTCTATTATCAGTTGACTAAAGCCACATAAACATTTAATTGTTATTTATCTCAAGATTAGTAAATACTAGATATTATTGGACAAATGACATATAACACAAATGATTCGAGAAAGATCGGAAATATTTGCACGATGACGAAATAAGATTTGGTCATTATATCACGATATACGCGATACCTAGCTGTTTACATTTTACATGTGATAAGAACAAATGACGTTGCAACGTCCCGAATATGGAACATCAAAACTACCTTTAAAAAATATACTCACCGGCTCTAATCAGAACTTAAACTTATGCTGAAAAAAATGAGCAAAGACTCATCTCCTCTGATTCATAACTGGACAACATGTCTTGATTTGTTACGATTGATTGATCGGTACCCGATCGCTTGTACTAGCAACGCACACGGCGTGAATAAATGGAAAAAATTCATTGGTCCGTGTCCAAAAGCAAAAATGTTAACTCGTCCCGTGAATGGAAGATGTCTAATTAAAATTATGTAAATTAAGAACCCTCTATACACTGCGCATTAAAGAGTTCTGATTTGTGGTATTTTTATGCAGATAGAGTAATCTGTCCTTTGTTCTAGAATAAACTAAATTGAAATGTTTAGTGTATATCTTAATTTCTTATATTATTGTAATAATTTCATACTTGTCTTTTATGGGCTCTAAATTAGAAAATAAATGTTCTGTTCTGTTCTATAATTTGTGATCAAATCAAGCATTCATAACAGGCCATTATTAATAGGCCAAGATGGATAGATTGAACACTTCATTTGCAGGTATTTTGCCCACTTAAGTAACAACATTGATTTCTGTTCATCAGTACTTCATTGTATTTGAAAATTTTTCCTGGGGATAAATGCAAGGTACCTTATGTTGAAAATGTAAAAGATAAGCTCAATAGGGCCTAGCTATTACCTCTACATACTATATTTTTTTTTCAATGTCCAAAAAAACTTTTCTTAAGTGTATAGAGGGTCCTTAAATAGATACACTGAACACATAACTTTTCTATTCATTCCAAAGATGAATTCTATGTTAGTGGAACGACAACAACAATATAACTGCAGTTACAGGCCCTGAGGTGATGGGAAGAGAGATTCGAGTCTCTCTTGTAAACAATTACAGTAGTGGAATTTGATTCTATATGTACAATAAAAATAAAAATGAATTAAAAAAATGTTTCCGAACCTAAATGTTCGTTGTCATGATCCTGAGATTATCCACAGTTTGTCATACCAGAATTTAGCAGTGGGGACTTTTGAATCGTCAATTCAATAAAATTTCAAAAGGGACTGAAACATTGACTTCACTTTTCTTTTATTTATATTTTTCAAAGATTTTTTTTAAACATTATATTTACCTTCAACATCTGCATCCAGTTCTTTTACTCTTACAAATTGATACAGTACTATCTTATTTTAAACAGTTGTAAAACTGATGCATCATAAAAAGGTATTTGTATTAATAGTTAAAATTTAAAATATTTTAAAGAAAGATAACTTTATTATGTTTTATGTGAATTTAATATATATGACACTAGATATTATTTTCATATGGCATATTTTTAATTTTATGTTTTGATAATTTTTAAATAATTGCGCTTCTTATTCTCTGTTTTAAACTTTCTTTATATCATGGTCAGACATAAAAGTCTTTTCTGAAAAAAATAATAAGCAACGCTTAACACTTTATCTTGTTTTCCATTTGAAAACATTATTAAATAATTATTATTATTAATTATTAACTAATGCTATATAAATAATGTTGGGAAGTAAAAAAAAAAATGTGAGCAGAGGGTCATAACTCCTTAAGGTATGTCACTCGTCAGCCTTTAGAAAATTCCAGTCAGAACCTCTTACTTAAAAACTATTTATTACAATTCAATCTTTATAACATATTTAAATTAAACAATATAAAATGTTCAACATTCAATTAAAAAACTGCTCAAAAATTCACAAAGAAACAAGATTTATGAGGGACTATTTCTTGTGGCGGAAGGATATTTAGCAGAAAATTCTGCAAATCTACACATTTATTAAATTTAATATCTTGGAACTTTAGCCTCACATACTTTTACTCAGAGAATATTTTCCGTTTTGATATGCCTGGAATATTAAACATAGGCCTCAATATATATTTTTATAACAAAATTTACACCTTCGCTCAACAAAAATTGCCAAGAAATGAAGATATATTAAGGAAGTCGAGATAAAATTTACACAGTTTTTTGCCTGAAAATCGCATATTTTGACCAATGTTTCAAAATTTATATCACTGACCCCAACTTTTTCTTTCATTATTTTAAACTACTCGGTACTTTTGACCGATCAGCACTTAAGTCATAAAAAGTTTGATACAAGAAAATATTCTCATGCCAAGAAAAGGTACGCATTCTAGTCTTAGAGCGAACTCAATAAAAGCGGAATTAGCGTTAATCTGTGAGTTTTCCCCAGGGAGATGTGTGCGAGGCAATTAATGTCAGCAGTTTTGAGGGAAGGATCTTAAGTTTTACTGGTTTGAAATTAAAGCTAGAATACTTACTATTTGGAAGCCTTTGCACCTTTTTTCCTGTTGTTTTTTTTAAAGGGGGGGGGCGATTTTCCATGCAAATCATATGCGGTTAAAAAAGTAAAAAAAAAAAAAAAGAAGAAAAAGAAAGTGAAATAAATTGTAGTGAACTAAAAAATTGTTCAGTAAAAATTAGACGCCTTTCAAATTTTTCAGTGTTTATATATCAAAATATTTTTTTCCTAGTATAAATTAACATCGGGCACGATGAACTTGGTTGTTGTGGAAGTCTCGCGCCTTATTAAGGTATCATACCGGTAATTGACCAATGAAAATGAACTTTGTCAATTGTAGTTCCATACATATAAAATTATTATTTTTTCCTTTTGAATTTTTTTTTAAATTTCCTTCCAGTCTATTTTTACAATTTTGGTACCTGTGTCTAGTGCATTTTACATATTTTGTAAATAAATAAAGGTTTTTGACAGGAACTATTTTTTTTCAGGGCATAGGAGGCTACTTCCTGGGGTAGAAGTTTATTTTTCTTTGACTAAGAAAACGGAAAACTTAGGATCCACCCCCTCAAATCTGCTGCCGTTAATTGTCTCGCCAGCGTTAGGGGAATATGGGTGATTTGCATCAATTACACTTTTATTGACTCCATCGCTGTGGAAAAATGGACGGGATTTCTTGGCATGATTGCCTGTTTAGATTTTCAATACCCAAATATGAGACTTTTTTAGTGCAAAAAGGTCACACAATAATTTACGCGCATTAATTTGCATGATTTGTTCAATGATAAATATTATTCAAACTATTTTACGTAAAATAAGATTATGTTTATTGCCATGGTTACATCTTATAAAATATGATAACGGTTAAAGTGATTAACCAAAGAGTTACAATTTAAGTGAAAAAAGGTCAACTTTATTGTACCGTAGCTCAGTTAGATGCACACTGACCCCCCCATTTTCTCTGCGATTTTGAGTCATACTATATGAGTACTTATCCAAAATATACTTCTAAAAAAATCCTTGATATAACAAATTTCACGAGTGACATACCTTAACATGATGAGAATGCTTGAATTGATTACAAATTGAGTAAAACACTGTAGATTTCAATTTCTTTTATTTTAGTTCTAGGGGCAAATTACTCTTTAGTGTGCAGTGTAGAAAGGTTTCTTAAGTTCTTTAGCTTTCTTCGTTGAAAACTTCTTAACAAAGAGTCATAGAAAAATGAAAGCGTTTCTTCGGATGTCATTAATGGCATTCATTTCTTTGAATATGAGTCAAATATTTCCTGCAGGAATTCTTCATTTTCATGCTATCAGTCTGGAGAAATAGCGATTTTCGTTATAAAATAGGATTGCACGTTTTCGGTTTTTCTTCTTAAAATACATGTTTGGAATTAAATATATGTGCTAGTTACACTTAAATCAACCAACACAAATGCTTATTTATAATCCTACTTATTATTTCAGGATATTCAGTCCCGAATCGACCTTCCTTGTTTTTCTAAAAATTTACCTCTAATTACAGTCTCTTCACTGTAATTCTTATCCATTTTATAGGCTCTGAACTGATCATCTTAATTCGTTTAAAACATAAAACAACTGATTCAAATAGGAAAGTTTATCAGAAAATCGGCAGTTTTATTTTACTTACATCAATCCCGTCTCTCAGTTTTAACTATTTTCTACTCGGTACCACAAACAAACATGTCCACCGCATACCCGATGTTTATTCCTCCTAGAAAAAAGGAGCATTTGTTGTATTTTATATACTTTCTTGGCTTTTCTTCCTTTTTTTTCATCTCAAATGATATGGAAACAATCTAGAAGATTGGAAAGGTCTCTAATTGCTCTGTGAAAAAATACTCTGCTCGTTTGCCATTATTTATTCGTTTTTTTTTTTTTTTTTTTTTTTTTTGTTTTTTTTCTTTTTATTTTTAATCTCTTTTTAATATAGGATTTTTTCCCAAGGCAGCTGTCATTAATAATTTGCCCATCACCACGCTTATGGGAATATCATTAAACTTTGATTTAGTTCTGCCCAAATCCAGACCGGAGAAAAGGAGCAGAAATTCTTGGCATGTTCTCCAATTAAGAGTTATGGGGAACTTAGCACTAAAGTCGTGTCAGGGTCATATATCTTTGGAGCCCTTTATACTTGAATTAAAAAAAAATGTGTATGCTGATCATCAGTGACCTAGACTGTGTCACTGATCTTGATTCGAGGAGATATCTCAGACATCAAATTAAACTACTGTAGGTTAGTGCACAGGCGATGTAGAGGCGGTTTAGAAAAAGTTTTCATTTGTATATGTTTTGAAGTGTTCAGGTCTAACTCAGTATTATATACCTTCACATGATAACTGTTTTATGATACGTGGACTTTTTTCTATTATTTTGCTTAATTTCTGCAGCCTATAAATCACCCAGCTGTCATTCGGCGTAAATAAAGCATTTAATTTTATAATTTAAATTACTCTCCGGCATATTGTCTTTTTATGACTACTTTGCAAGAATATTGCTATGCGAATCGAAAATTTCTCGTACGATCACTGAAGCCGGAAGAAGAAAATGGCGGCGCCAAATTTTGAAGGTGTCTCAGGGACGGGTGAGATTCACTCCGGAACTAAAAGTACGCATGCGCAAAATTCTAAACCTCAAACCCGATCATAATTACCCAAGTCAACATGGCGGCGTCCATGAATAGAAGAAAGCTCAATCAATCAATGTGCGCTCTTCTTAAACTGATCGTAAGTGAACAATTCCTACTTCTTATTCAGTAAAAGCGTTTCTAATTTACGTTATATATATATTTGTTATTGGAAACAGTATAGGTA